GGAGAAGAGGGCGGGCCCAAAGGGGGCGGTGCGGGACCCGGGGCGGACGGCCATTGGCCACATCCCGGAAAGGGGGAGGAGCGTGAGGGTGGCCTTCCTCCCTTCCCTTCAGACCGGGGACAACATAACCCGCGAGGTTAGTGCAGGAGGAGCAGTCGCGCTCCCCTTGAGGTGGTACGGTGAGCTTGCGCGGCCTATGCACCCTCCGAACCCCTTTCCGCGAGGCGCAGTCTGGCTCCGCTGCCAGTGACGGCGGGGGAGGGTGTCCCGGAGTTCACACCCTCGAGCGCCGAGGGAGTGGAGCAGATGAGGTCAGCTGCGGGGGGAAGGACATTCTCCCGAGGAGCCGTCTGTATTTTAAATGTTGAAGCTTTGTTAGTCGTGTAAGGGTTTTGCATTATTTTTTGTTTTTAAAAATCTCTAACACTTGAACAGTATTCTGTGCCTTTTAAATCTATCTGATTCACCTAGCAGCCCCGTGACGTTGGCCAGCGGGTGTTATCTCTTTAAGCAGAGGACTGCTGGAAACAGAGAAGCTCTTGGCTTGCCCCAAGTCACAGTTATGAATGGCAAAATCACTAATCAGTCCACAGTAGAAAGCAGGCGTTTTGTCTTCTGTCTCAGTTCTTGTCCCAAAGCTCACAATAGAAACCTTCAGTCCTGGGCCGGGGATTTAGCTCAGTGGTTCTGCTGCCTGCCACGCAAGCACAAAGACCTGAGTTCGATCTCGGGTGCCAAAAAACAAACAAACAAAATCTACAGTCCTAAAGTCTAGGACAGAGTCTAGCCTTTGGCTTTCAAAGTGAGAGGACCCAAGCTCCCGTCTTTGAATTACTAATTGTGGGGGGGGGTCGCAGGTTTCAGGGTTTATTTCCTGTGTGTTGAGCCTTAGAAGTTTTTATAGAAATTCAAACAGCAGGAGAACATATGATACCAACTGGCATGTTGTGACAAGGATTTGGTTTAAAATAATGCAAATAATTGTAATTTTGCTGCATAAACCACTTTCCTAAATGTGTACTTTGTTACTAAATTAAAACATAGTCCATACTATAAAAAACCTCACGATTATTTTGTTTTGTTTTTTTGGAACCAGGGATCAAACTCAAGACCTTGCACTTGCAAGGCAGGCGGCCACACCACTGAGCTAAATCCCCAGCTCAACCTCTCACGATTTTTATCATTACAACACATTTTGTCTATAAAAGAGGACTGTGCAGAAGGCAAAACTCTCTTCTTGATTTAAAAAAATGTTACTGTTCTGCCATATCCAAAGGTGCGATGGTGCATGCCTATTATCATCCCAACATTTGGGAGAGAGAAGCAGAAGTCTGAGGCTATCCTGGACTATATAGTGAAACCGGCTCAAAACAAACAAAAAGCAAAAAAATGTTAGCCAATTAACATTCATATTCTTTGATTTATCTTCATTTTTAAACCTATTGTACTTGAAAACACTGTCAAATATATATTCATGGGCTAGTAAAAGCTAACACTCCACTGATTATTCTACATAAGGCCCTGTACCAAGCAATTATTTATTTGATGAAGACATCTCAGTACACATATAAATATAGTCAGATGATTTTTGATAAAACTGTAAAAGTAATTTTAATGTAGATACAATATTTTTTCAAAAAATTGTGCTAGGATAACTGGACATTCATATTGGGGAAAATATACCTAGATGCAGACATTATGCCTTTTAGAGAAATTAACTTAAAGCAGGTTGTAGACCTAAATGTAAAAGATGGACTAGAAGAAAGTCCATTTGACCTTGTGTTTCCAGATGAATTGATTGATTGATTGATTTTGGTACTGGGGATTGAACTTGGGTCCTTGTGCTTTCGAGGCAGGCGGCAGCACCACTGAGCTAAATCCTCAGCCCTCAGATGGATTTTTAGACTAAACACCAAAAGCATAACCTATATGGCAAAAATACATATTGGACTTGATTAAAATTAACTTTTAAACTGAGCATGGTGGCTCATGCTGTAATCTTAGTGCTCTGGAAGGCTGAGGCAGGATTGTAAGTTAGACCTCAAACTAAATAGCATTTTAGCAAGACCCTGTCTCAAAATTAAAAAAAAAAAAAAAAAAAGTTTTCAAAAGAACTGGAATTGTAACTCAGTGTGAAGGCCCTGGGTTCAGCCCCTACTATCACAGTAAAAATAATCTTGGCTATGTAAAGGACACTAACAGTGAAATCAGAGGATGATCCACAACTAGGAGAAACTATTGGCAAAATACATATTGATAGGGGACTCGTATCCAAAATATACAAAGAACTCTTAAAAACCCAATAAGAAAACAAACAACTAATTTCTTTTTTTCTTTCTTTTTTTTAAGATGAAGTCTCACTATTTGCCCAGGCTAGCCTTGATCCTCCATCCTCAGTTTTGGAGAGCTGAGATTACAGATTTCTGCCACTCAACAACATGATTCTTTTTTAAATGGGCAAAATATCAGAACAGACAATTTGGCAAAGAGTATGTAAAGATACAAAAAAAAAAAAATCAAGAGCCGGGTGTGTTGGCGCATGCCTATAATCCCAGCACTCGGGAGGCTGAGGCAGGAGGAGCACTGGGAGTTCAAGACCAGCCTGGGCTACATAGTGAGTTCAGGTCAGTCTCAACTACATAGTGAGACCCTGTCTCAAAAATAAAAAAAAAGAATATGTAAAGACAGTAAATGAGAATATTGGAAGATATCATTTGTCAATAGGGAATTAAAATTAACATAAGAATTAGGTACTAGAATGGCTAGACTAATCCACCTGGGACTGGATTGAATTTGAGTTGGAGACATCCTTGTGTACTCATATTTAATTTCAGCTATAAATGGATACATAGGAATATTCATATATATGCATATATGTGTGTGCCTGTATTAACATATACTTATCTTCTTGCTCTGTCACCTGAGAAGATCCAGAAACAGTCACATCCTAGGAATAAGCAGCACATCTGGCACCTGGATCTTGGCTTGTAATCCCATCCCAATTAAAGGAACCAGAGCTCGCAGGAAGTGTCCACTCCTAGGACTGGGGCAGGGAGTACACAAGCCTATCCTATCCTACATGAGGGCATCTTGTAGTGCAGAAAGTAAAGAAGCACTAGAAAACCCTAGTGCAGCTAGGGCTATTTCAGAGGAACACAAAGCCAACTGAAAGAGTTCCCAATACCAAAGGTGGAAGAGTTTGAGTAACAAGGTTAGTAAAGTAAATGCCCATGAGTCTATAGTGACATGAATAAATACCTGAATAAATAAATGGGGGTGAATAGATAATCCCAAGTGGAAGAATTCCAAATGACTTATGTAGATATTTTGCCCTCTAGGAGATGGCATATAATTTCCACTCCTTAAATATGGAATAGACATAGTGACCTCCTTTCCGTGTGTGGAAATTCAGGAAAGAGTAGCTCCTCAGTGAAGAAATGGGTGAAACCTACCTTAGCCAGCTGAGTAGTCACCAACACCAGTGATGAGTTCCAGCCACAGCCTGTGCCCAAGATGTTGTGTACTCAAAAGGGTGCTTCCCTTCTGTGCTCCTCCCAAATCCATACCGGAGTCTGATCATGAGAACAACTTCAGGGTGAATCCTCATCAAGAGTCAATCTACTGTGTCACTGACCAATGCTCCTCACAACCTCGTTCCTCTATAATGAGGGAACTCTAAGGGACTGTCACAGTCCAGAGGAGACAGACTGTGTGATGGTGAACTGTCATGTGGATCCTGGGTGGGAGTTGGGTCAGATAAAGGACATTAAGTAGAAGCCAAACATCTGAATAAGGTGGAGATTTCAGTTAATAGTGTGTCCATATCTGTTCATTAACTGACAAATTTATCATAAGATGTTCATAGTAGGGGAAACTGGCCATAGTTTAAATGGGAATTCTGTACAATTTTTATATTTTTTCCATAAATCAAAAAACATAAAATAAAATCTAAAATATAAACCATTCTAAAATTTAAAAATTATTTAACAAAGTATTTCACTTATTTACTGAAGTTACCCTTCATTCTCTCAGTGAACTTGTGTCAGCAACCTCCCTCTTGAGGCTTCAGACTGACAGACCTCGCTGCTGGCCATGCGCAGGTGTGCCCTACTCTGTCACTCAGTGTGCCCCACATTGATGAGCCCCAGACAGTGTTCTCTCGTGTCTTCTCCTGCCCTGTGGATGCTTTTGTGCCAGCTCCAGACCCTGTGCCTGGAGGCCAAACTGTGGACTTCCTGAAGGAACAGCCTCAGACTTCGGCCTCTTCGGGAAACAACCAGGAAATGGGTGAGGAGCATGTGGGTTTGGGGCATTTATTCTTGGTCCCAGATGTACTGGGCCATAGAACATTGGTGACATTCTTCCACCAAAGCTATTGCTGTCAGAGGCCCTTTCCATCCAGTCATCTTTCTAGTTCACAAGCTCCCTCCCCTCACCCATTATCAGTCCAGAACACAACCTCCAGTAAGCACTTATCGGTGGCACTGGGCAACCCATGAGAGCCCTGGGTACCAGGAAAATACATACCTGCCCCCTGGGTGCAGAATAAATATTTATTAAATGAAGGAATCAGCCTTGTCACTTGGCAAGTGTTCAAGTCTCCAGAGACCCTTGCAACGGTCAGCCAAGTGGGAAGCACACTGAGCAGTCAGAGCTAGGCTCAGACTGTGGCTTCTTAAACTTATCAGATGACAGGTAAGTTGTTTAGTTCCTTTTTTTTTTTGATACCAGGGATCCAACTTGGGACCTTGTGCTTGCAAGGCAGGCAGGAGAACTACTGAGCTAAATCCCCGGCCCTTTAGTTCCTTATCTTTAAAGTGGGCATAATAATATCTTCTTCACTAAGTTGACTAAATG